AATATAGACATGATGACATGGTCAAAATAGCAAGATCTCACGCGCATGCACGTGCGCTTTGCTGTGCAACAACTTTCAAATTATTATATCTTTCTTGTTTTTCAGAGGCCATGAAATCCTTTGAAATTTTGAACATAGCCATGCATTAAAATATGCTACAACATGATATATAGCAATTGTCATAAAAACACGTGCATGCACGTGCGCTGCAATCTGATTGGCTTAAACTTTAAATAATTATAACTCTTGGTTTTCAACCAAACAGGATGGGATTTGGAACATAGATAGATATAATGAACTTCTACAACATGATATGGTCACAATGCACATGCATACACGTGCGTGTACTTGCGCTTTAATCTGATTGGCTGAAACTTTAAACAGATATAACTCCTTTGGTTTTCAACCAAACGGAGTGGGATTTAGAACATAGAGAGATGTATTGGACTTCTACAAGAAGATATGGTCACCATGCTCATGTATGGACGTGCGTGCACGTGAAATGAGTTAAATCAAAATACACTTGAATGAGCGTATTTTTAAATACTTTTGGATTAAATACTTTGATATTTAGTATATTAAAATATATAGATTGTGTAGACAAGATGATATGGTCATAACGCACATGCATTCACCTAACGCACAAAATTCAAATTTTGACATTTGAATGAACTTGGCGTTGTTTATTTAATCACAAATGCATAGATTTTGTCCTATTTAATGAAGTATATAGGGAATAAGGCACCAAAAGGGAGTTGGGGAGCGTTTGGGGAACATCTGTAACGGTCCCCGTTACAATTAGCACTAGTTAACAATGGGTTAAAAATATTTCTGAAAAAACAAGTGCCTTTGTAAATAGCATACTAATAAGCTGCACAGATGAAAGAAGTTCATCAGCTTTTTGCAAGTCAGATTATTCCTTGCCTCAATCAAGTTGTACTTAGTTAGTTTATTTAATACCCAGAATCAGAGGAGATGATTTTCAAAGAATAAATGCATTTTCACTATATAACCAACCTCCAAACACCTAACCCTTAATCTGGGGCCAAAAATATCACAATTTTGGAAGACACCCTTGTTTAGTACATGTACTAACTTTTTCATCAAATATTGTATGTAGTTGTGTATAACATTGAAAATTAATTATAAACTACATATTCACCAGAATTGAGGCTATATTCACAATTTTTGGTAGAGGACTCAATGCTTTACATTCATGCCAACAGTTTGCCTGCTTGATGTCACAACTGATTTTTAAAGATTGCAATAATTTTAGTGGTTTTGGCCCCACCCCTCAGGCCCCAGGGGGGCGGGGACCATAAAATTCATAATTTTTGTTCCCCTTCACCTTGCTGTATACCAAATTTGGTTGAAATTGGTTCAGTGGTTTCAGAGAAGAAGCAAAATGTTCAAATGTTAACACACGACCACGACACACGACGACGGACGAAAACGGATAGCAATAGGTCACCTATTCTCAGGTGACCTAAAAGTCCTTTTATTTATACAATACAAATCATTTTTTGCTATACAAAAAACATGTTCTTAAATTAATTACTGCTGATTTTGTTGTTCGTTTTGTCATTTTTTTTTAGGATTGAAAATCTTGCAAAATTGTTAACCGGTCACACCATCATCATGTTATCTCCCTTGTTGAACAGCATTTCAACCAATGAAATAATTGAAAATTTTCTCAGACATTTTCTACCAATCACAAAAGAGAGGAAGTGCATATAAATAAAAAACTTTATATAATACCGTCTTCCAAGGAAGCATTAATAACTTCATAAAAGATTGTATTTTCTGAGGTGATTGTATTGATATTCTTGTGTCCTCAACTTGTTAGTCAATAGCTTGCCTCATTTTAAAAATTGTTCATACATAGAGCATGCTCTTGCATGTACACGTTTCTTATCAACTAAAATCTTCATTCAGGTGCTCTACCAATTGAGCTATCTGGTCACCAGCAATTGAACCTGTTACACATTCCTCCCTCCTAAAAGGTCTTCGGCCCCTAAGACACAAAGTGGCCCACTAGGCCCAGGCTCATCTGTCACTGCTAGGGCAGGGCACAGAGAGGAGGAAAAAAGTGATGGACCAAACCAGGATTCGAACCCAGGCCCCCTGAATCTCAATCAGGTGCTCAACCATGCTATCTGTCCATAATGATATACCTCACAGCAGTGAAAAGAATAAGAACACAGCATTTCAGTAGTTTTTTTTTTTATTTTTAGTGTTTTTTTTTTAACTTTTATTCTACAAAAAGTCAACTTGGGCTGTTCTTTAGTAATAAAATCAGTTTGCTGTCCTGCAAACACTTTTTAAGAACTGATATCACATTATATGCGTCTTGTAACTTCTCTCTCTCACACTTTCACACACTATCTAAGCTGGAAACTGTGAACACTTCTCGGGGAACATGTCAAAAATCTCTTTTTAAATTTATCAGGTCCTCTTTTAAGAGCTGGCACAATTACTTTTTTGGCCTTGAGTTTAGAAATCAGAAGAGAGGAAAACCTGTAAAAAAGAAGACATTTTTACAGTGACAACAAAAGAAAAATTTTTTGCTGTGAAAAATTATTTGTAAGTCTCGTGCAAAATGTGTTAAGCATGAACTAAAAAAAAACACTAATCTCATGCACAAACACCATAAAAGCTTCGTAACTTGGATGCAAATTCAGCAAAAATGTAAATCTTGTGACACTGGTCACTCTAAAACAAGGTCTTAAAATTTCCCTCTTATAAAAAAAATTCAACAAAAAACATTTTATACTGACGTCACAATTCATTAATTTCTTCATTGCAAACCCCCTGCATTAATTGCAAGTGCAAACGCCAAATGATGAATCAAGCTTCTTTTCTTGTTTTTCTGATTAAAAGAAATACTGTACCTCTTCTCAACTCATGTTGAGGCAGAATATTCTGATTAACAAATGATACACAAATTGAAGTTAAATCAACTACCTAAGGAGTACTTACAGAAGTATCTTATTTTTCTAAAATTCTCCATTTTTAATGGTTTTGTTGATATGGTGGCACTGTCGCCACGGGTGGAGGACCACTCGCAACTGAAAAACAAATGAAGCAAGCATACAGTGAACAGAGGAGGGGGCAAACTCAACAGCATCAGAGTTAAAGGGGTAGGGGGGCAAACTCAACAGCATCAAAGTTAAAGGGGGTGGGGCTAACTCCACAGCATCAGAGTTAGGGGGGCTAACTCCATGTGTACAGCATCAGAAGTCAGGGAACCAACTGAATCAAAAGGAGAATTCAAAAGAAGGCAACTAAGCATTCAGCAGTTCAGTGATACAATATGGAACTGTATTCCTCTCCCATTAGTTTGATGTCATTCTTTTGTTCACATAAATACTTCAAAATGCACACAGATAGTTCTGGCTTGCAATATTAACAATTTATCAAAATTTTATCAGGAAACACCCTGCCTGAATATTTGCTTTTAAACAAACTGTTTTGAAGCCCCCCAGCAGAACAAGTATTTAAGCTTAGATCACTTTCGTATGGGAATCCAAAGAAATGGAGGTAACCTTGAATTCTCTTAAAAAAATAAATCATGCAGTGTTAAAAATAAGAAAACCTTGAAGCCAAATAAGCAATCAACATGCATTTTCACAGCCTCAGTATAGCTTCTTGCAAAATCCAATAGGATGCAGTTAGTGCTCATTCCAGATTAGAATGTCTACTTTTGTATCGAGTGCAATGAACAAATATATATAAAACAAAAAGATAGGAAATATTAAAAATATATGTTTAAACTAAAATGAATTCCTGGATATTACATTATATATTTTAAAAAAAAAAATATATATATAATATTGCATATTTGTTTAAAGATACTCTTGACAATACTATACTACTACCGAATTGAATTCTAATTATTAGTTACCATGGTAGTATCTTTAGATAAATGCTGAAAATTATTAATTTCCTTCTTCTAATTATTGATCAAAAATTGATCATCATACCTTGTGGAACAAACTGGTGGACAACATTAGTAGAAGGATTAGATCCTTGAAACCCTGCAGGCATTCCTGTTGGTTGCATCATGTGTTGTTGATTGGGACCTATTCAAACAAGGGAGGTATAAATATGACATTTTTGTTTTTAGTTTCTTTATAAAAGGCTAATATATTTATTATTATCAGCTCAAAAAAGAAAAAAAAATTCTGTTGTATGCTTGTGGCAAGCTTAACCTTAATTTACTCTATGAAAATACTTTGAGGAAAAATAAAAACTCATCCTCTGCATGTATGGTTATAAACAACAGAATAAAAGAAATGTTGAAGCCAATGCAGTCATGATAGAAATCCTTCAGAACTCACCTCCCATGTGTTGTTGAAACTGTTGGTTGTGCGCGTGATGAGGCTGCACTTGCCCAGGCTGGGGGTTGGGCATGACCACAATCTGTGCCCCGTGGCCCAGCTGAGAGGAGGGCCCGGCATGCATTGACTGGTTGCCACCGGTGGGCATGTGTTGCTGTGTGTAATGCTGGCCCGTGGTGCCCTGCTGGAAGATGTGGTGCTGGGAGACATAGGGATAGCCTGGATTGTGCATGGTTTGTGGAGACTGGTTCTGTGGGCTCGGGATCAGCGGCGGATGTCCCTGGATGTTTGTGGGGGCCATGTGTGGGTAAGGTCCTCCTGCTGGCTGGGGGGTGCCCGAGTTTGGTGGCCGCCCCTGTTGATGTGATTGAGAGTTTCCATGCTGTTGTACAGGACTAGGTGCTGGGTGTGTTATAGGTTGAGGCTGTCCTCCTTGTTGATTAGCTTGGCTGCCCATGTTGTTTGTTGCCATGGGCATGTGGGCTGGGAACGGAAACTGAGTAGCTGGAAGGTGAGCTGGCATTGGTTGAGCTTGACCAGGCACTGAAATAAATTATTCATACAAAGTGTACATTTATTTCATGGCATTAAATTATTCATTGTATGACCAATATACATAGGATGACACAAACTGTGAAAATGTAATCTGTGTTGTAACTTACTAAATATTGTTGAATGTTGGTGTGATTGACTGGACTGAGCACCATGTGAAGTAGGCACCATAGGCATAGATGTTGGCGTTACCATTCTCCCCGTGGCTGCTGGCATAGGCATCACCGCCTAAAAATATAAAAAACAACAAGTCTACAAAGATATTCCTCTTCAAGATCGATCAAAGGCAAAAATTCTTTAGAGAGAGCATCCGCTGAATCTTTACTCACGGAGGTATAAATATTGAAGGCACATTTCATGTTCAAACATTTTCCCTACATTGTAACTGTGTATACATGCCGTAGTACCTGATAGTTAGGGAAGTATGGGATGTAGGGTTGCTGGGCCTGTACTGTGGCTTGGTTAAATAGAGGCTGTCCAGTAGCAGCCTGGGCAGCAGTCAGATCATTCCGGGGACCAACAGATACAACAGCTGAAACAGATCAAAATAGCTCATATTAAAATAACAGAAAAACTACAGTAGGGCTGTCACGGTTCCAAAATTTTTCGGGTCGGGTCGGTTCTGATTTTTTTAGGTTCGGTTTCGGGTTTCTCGGGTCGGGTAGGTAATGGAAGAAAAGCTCATGATTCGTATTATTTTCAACAATAAAAAGAATATTTTCATTTAATTTTAGAAATTGCAACATTATAACCAGTTTAAAGTAGCCTCCTGATTAGACAACAATTGTACCAAATTATTTAAATCACCTTATAATGACAATGTACTAACCAATCTCTCCTTTTTGATGCCATTTTTATAACATCTACTCTATTATACAAATCGAAAAACTCGACCCGAATTAATTGTTCCGCGGTTCCGGGTCATTTCGGGTACCCGTGACAGCCCTAAACTACAGACAAACAAAATTATTTACCCCTATTGTAATTTTTCTTAAATAAATAAGACCATGCACTTGCCAAAATGACCTTGGTTCAAGAAAATGAGACACTTTCTGGTCATATGTAATCTTAGTATGTAATCTGACTGCATTTACAGACAAACAGCTGACTTCTGCTGTGATGTTGAAAAACATTATGTGGACTACATACTTTGCAGGTCAAATATACAAAAATTTCATTGCAAAAACAAAATCAATGCAACCAATAGAAATAAGGCAGCTGATAACTTCCATTGTCCTGCTGGTGAATAAAATCTCTGTGAAGAATCTGAACCAAAATGCTGTTGTTTTGACCTACCTCTTTTGACTGTCTTGAAGTTTTGCGGGGAAGGCTGAGGGGCCTGGTTGACCACTGTGGGAGGCATTACAGTGTAGGTTGGCATGTAAGGGTGAGGCATAGGCTGGGAGATCTGCTGCATCATGCCCGGGTTCACTGGACTCTGGGTCTGAGGCCTCTGGGGAGGAGTAGGCACCTGCTACAAAAACAATTTGAATTGATAAAACTTGTAGTTATGTTCCCCAAACGAAGTTGGGGAAAATCTCATTTTTTGTCCGGGAATGATCTTGTAAACTATTCGTCCGATGTAGGTAAAACCTTTTTAGGGTTAGTAGACATGTTATGTATTTGCAACACAAGGTCATTTTTTATTACACGTGCTTGCAAGAGCGTGCACGTGCAACACGTGAAATGACCAATATAATAGATATAGCCACAACTGTTCTATTTTTAGATGAAATGCTTTGAAATTCATCATGTGAGGATATATTAGCAGTATAGACATGACGACATGGTGAAAATAGCAAGATCTCACGCGCATGCACGTGCACTTCGCTTTTTCCACATTGGCTGCAACTAAATTAATATCTTTCTTGTTTTTTGACGAAATCCTTTGAAATTTTTGAACATAGCCATGTATTAGGATATCCTACAACATGAAATAAAGCATTTATCATGAAAACACGTGCATGCACGTGCGCTGCAATCTGATTGGCTGAAACTTTAAACAGCTATATCTCCCTTGGTTTTCAACCAAACAGAATGGGATTTGGAACATAGATAGATATAATGGACTTCTACAAGTAGGTATGCTCACCATGCACATACATACACGTGTGTGTACAAGTGCTGCAATCTGATTGGCTGAAACTTTAAACAGCTATAACTCTCTTAGTTTTCACCCAAACGGGGTGGAATTTAGAACATAGATAGAAGTAATGGACTTCTACAAGAAGGTATGGTCACCATGCGTGTATGCACGTGCGTGCACGTGAAATCCTAAAATCAGACATACACTTGAATGAGCGTATTTTATTAATAATTTTGGATTAAATACTTTAATACTCAGTGTATTAAAATATAGATTGTGCAGACAAAATAAGGTCATGACGCAAATGTATTCACATGTGCACGCGTGAAATGCTAAAGTTTAAATGATTTTTCTCTCTCTCTTTGTAAATGTTGTTAAAATCTCAGATGCATAGAGTTTGTCTTATTTAATGAAGCTTACAGGGAATATGGCACCAAAAGGGAGTTGGGGGGCGTTTGGGGAACATCTGTAACGGTCCCCGTTACAATTAGCACTAGTTATAACTATTTTAAAATCTCATTCTAGATAAAAACAAAGGCGAGGGAAACACACTTCTTAACATTTTTTTTTATATTTGCAACACAAAAATTTTATAACATGTAAATAATGTTAAATGGCATTAGATTGAGGCATGTAACATTTTTATGCCCCTGTAATCGAATATTTGGAGGTATGCATGTTGAAAGATTCCGAGGCAGGATCAATCTACTGAAGCACAGTCATGAGATAAACAAGAAAGAATATCCATACTCATATTATTTTTTCCACATTTCTCAAGCTACAATTAATTGGTACGTGGCTGTGGGCTCTTAAATTTGAACTTAAAAATTTGACAGCAAAGCTTTTAAAATCTTTTTAAAATTCACCTACCTGTTCTCTTCCCTTTCCCATCACAAATTCTTTTGCCAAAGGATTTAGGGTTGATCTTTTTGTAATGCTAAAATGAAACAATTTAACAATTTTTAAGCATTTTTTAATCACATATCCAAAAGAGTGAAATGACTCTTGGTATCACTCAACATATAAAAGAAAATTATTAGAACCATGATAACGTATAATGCAATTACAGAGCTATGTTACAGTGTAATGCATCTCTACTCTCCTCTCTTCAAAATTATAAACTTATTCTCAATGTTTAAAATGTATAATTACTCGAAGCCAAAAAAAGCCTTACGGTCATGTATTTTGGAAAAAAAAAACCTCAAAGCCAAATATTATACATGATTACTCTCTCTCTCTCTCTGAATTTATCACTTACTCATCCTTCTCTGGTGCACTCTGGGGATCAGCTGACTTATTTTCAGTGGCGAGAGCTTCCTCTGTTATATATAATTGGGGGGCTAATACTATAGGGGCAGCGGGATTTTAGAGACAGCGGCAGCAGCAGGGGCCTCATGTACAACACTGTCTTCTGACTTTGTTTCTACTGTCTCTTTATGATCATCTTTCTTTCCATCAAACTGAACATAAAGTAAAGTTATAACGTCAAACATTTAGCTCTACTGGTTAGTAAAATGTAGCACCAAAACATGGTAACTGAAAATTCGAATTCAAGACATTTTGAAAGATTTTCAAAGCAATTTTATTTTTTTATAACCAGGGCAACATCATTTCAACAATAGAACAAAAGCTAATAATTTTTTAGAGAAGGTCTTGAAAAATAAATACCTTTACAAAAATTTCCTTTTCAGTGACTAATATAATTCAATAGATAGATTAAGGTACATATATTTTAGTGTAGTTTACTTTTATGCATGTACATCTATCATTTCTTTAACTGCATTTACATGTAAATATCAATCAACTAAATCAGTAAGTACTTACACTGACTTTAAAATTTTTCTTAAAATCTTTCAGGTCATTTAGAACTTCTGCACGATCTGCAAAGAAGAAAACACAATGTTTTATCCACACTCAGAATGAACTATACATACAGCTAAACAAAATTAACATTCTTTTTTTTGTTAGGGATTCTTTTTATATACTTTATGCAAGTAAAATGTTGAGATTTTTTTTTAATATGGAACCACCTCCCCCAAAATGCATAAAAGAATATGTTTGTGTAAGTAACTGTAACCTAGATTTTTTGGGGAATGTTACAGGAAACAAACTATTTTTTTAAGGCCTAAATAAAAATTCACTTGGTTGTTATTGCTATACGCACTTATTTTGCCTCTTCACTACTTTTTAGTAAAAGAGATTTTTTTTATATAAGATATGCATATTCAGAATTTTTATGAGAAGTTTGAAAAATCTTAATCTTCTGACTTTTGTGAGCTGAGCTCCTCCTGTCTGGCTTTAGGGGTACGGGAGACGTGTGGGGGACAGGATCGGGTTTCTCAGGGGCTACATGTGGAGTCACCGGTTCTTGTTTTAGACTAGATTTCACATTAGTGTCTATATCACTTCTCTTTTCTTCAGGACGTCGCTCCTCCTGTCGTTTGTCCCTCTCCACACGGTCCTCTGCTTTCCTCTCCTCTGACCTCCTGTCTCTTTCATCTTTGTCTAGAAAACATAAAAAAAATGGAGTAACACATGCACTACCATGTGCAAAATTGCACTGATGGATGATTTACCATTTGGATAATTTACTACTCACTTGAACCCATTTCTGAATCATCATCTCTTGCAAATATATCAAGAATTGTCTAATTGCTGACTATTATTGTTTAGTATTAAAAGATGAACTTTCATATTTTTACAATACCATAGTAAAATTATGGTTGAATCATTTCTCCAAACGTCTCTCTCTACTACTGTATTTATTTGAAAATTTTTGTCCTAAAGAAAACTCTTCCAGATCTTTTTCTTATTAAGAGCATAAATAGACTGCTGAACTGACCGGCCATGCCGTTGAGTCTTGGCTCCTCGGTGGAGGTCTGATGATGAGGGGGGTGGTGGTGGTGGTGGGGAGGGGAGGCGTGATTCGGATTCGGATGGAAGTTGTGTGGATGATTTTGATGAAGATGTTGTAACCGTGGTGGAATCGAATTCTGAGGTCGCTGGTTCGACGAGTATCCCCCTCGACCCCTGTTCCCCTGCATTCCCGAGCGTTTGTTTGGGGGGATGTACCTGTAAGATTATAACAAATAAATAAAACCTACCACATTAATAAATCATTTTTTAACAATCATTTTTCCATTTTGAATAAAGCCAATCTTTACAAATAATTATAAAGTTCCTTATTTATGAAAAGATGCAGCATATATACCAGGAAAAGAATTTTTCAAAAATTAAGTCTTGATCATTTTCCAACCTTTTCCCAGACTCCTCCTTAAATACAGATTTTCATATGACTTATATTCCTTTTGAATTATTTCCTTTAGCTGTCATCTTGGGAGGTCAAATTTGAGAATTTTTGTTTGGTTGAATAATCAAAGAATTTGGGCTTCTTAACCTCCAAATCAGCTACCAAGGGTAAATAACTCTTGCTAAAATTGTGTCTATCGAAAACTATATCTAACATTGCAGACTTACTTTCCAGAGTTTCCAGAACTCAGCATATTAGTATTGTTTTCATTTGTCCGTTTGACAGCACTAAACTTTTCCTCTTCGTCACCATCCCCATTCTCTAATGAGATGTGCTGCTTGTACTGCTCACTCTTCTCGATTTCATTGGCTAGTCGTTCAGCCTCTTCTTCACGACTACGGAATTCCTTTGTATCTCTCTTCTCCAGAGGGGTCCTGAAAAAGTTTAAATGAAATGAAGAATCTCCTCTGCATTATTTCATATTTCAAACCTCTTTGCCCATAATAGATACAATACTTACGTATACTGTGTTAAGCTATCGTCATATTTTGACTGTACATTGAATTTTTCTTCATTTGTTCTAAACATTTCATTTGGATCCCATCCATTCTGAAATTGAAATATAAAATTTTCAAAACAATATACTCATCTTAATACACTAAAACTATAAAATGAACTGACTGTTCCTGTATACTTACAGCGGGCTCTCTCTCCAACCCTCCCAGCTCTTCCCCTTCTCCCCCTTCCCAGGGCTGCAACACTTTCAAATCGGCCTCCGAGTGATTACTATTGCATTTGCTTATTGCTGAGTCTGTAAATGTATCTGTAAGAAACAAAAAAAAAAATCCATTTTATATGACTGTACTTAAAAGGCACTCAGAAATATTAAAACACTGAATGGCTTCATAAATATTCGAGTCACAGGTGTATGTAAGAGACATCTGTTACCTCTCTAATCAATGAAATTTTAAAATAAATTTTGGTACAGATTTCAATCGGACGCCAGCTAGATGAAATTCCAGCTCTAGAGCTTGATGCCATAAAAACTAGAACATTTGAAGTCACAGGATTTAATCTGGACTTCAAATAAAACAAGCCAAAAAAAAATAAATAAAGTACAAGCTAGGTACAACTACAAGCTAAATTTTCTGACTTTTATTTGGCCTACCTTTAACAGCATAATCTAGGTCGACATCCACAGAGGTGATAGAGAGAATGTCTGACATGTTGAAGATGACTTTTTCAATCAGTCTATCCTTGGAGGGAGTTGTGTTATTGGTGTTGTTGTTACTGCTCTCTTCATGTTTGTGGGCCATTTCTAACACCACGTCCATCTATATCAATGAAAACAAATAATTACCATACATAGTCTAAATCTCTTATTGCCCCAAACCTAACTATACTTAAATTATTTATCCAAACAAACTTTGAGACAATATAAATTTAACCATTTCTTGACAGAGTTTTTCATGTTTATTATTGTCTACCATTTTGCTCCCAAATCTTGGGCATGGATCTTTATTTAAACAAAATTTATCCATTTTAAATTCAACAAACTCTCAGAACCCATCTATTTACTCAGCGTCTTACAACCTGAGTTTTGTACATTGAGAATGGCGAAATAGGATTAAGAATGACAAAACTCTAAATATAATACTTCAAATAAAATATGCAAATCAATCTTCTTATGTTCTCACCTTAGGACTGTTTGTTTTGAGAATACCATCATACACCCCACCATTCTTCACTTGTAACTGAACAACACAACCCTGTCAAAAGTTTCAAATCTGATCAAGTCTGGGAATTGCATGCTATGTTATGACAATTATCATTAAATTGTACAAATACGGATTAACTGACTTCACCACCAGTTTGAAACAGCGTAAGCTTAGTCATGTGACAGGAAAGAAAATGTATTGCTATATTGGGAATTGAACCAAGGCCCCTTGTAAGGTGCTAGACCAATCAAGCTATCCAGGCCATTATAGACGATACATTAAGTCATATGATCAAATTATCAATCTACAATACTGTCAAAATATGGCTGAAATATTGCCGACTCGGTGTTAAACAATTTACCAATCAATCAATCTACAATAATTTTTTTAAAGTAGAAATCTAGATCAATAATTTTTTTTCAAAAATATGTCAACACGTATACATAGTTTACAATGAAACCCCCCACACTGATTCCCTCTGGTCTTCATTTATTTATTTTTTTTAAATAAAGGTGAATCGAATCAATATATATACTTACAACGAGAGAGGCAAGAAGATGAGAGAATCTGGGATTGGAGTAAATTCCATCAAACTGTAAAAAGCAAAGAAAAATCCCATTTAAAATTCATTAAAAAATCACATTTCATACCTCGTGTAGTTATGTACATCCATTTTTAATCAAAACCTGTTAGAGTCAAGAAATCTACTCTTGCCTAAAATATTCAAAAATCAATACCATTATAAACATTCACGGATATTGCCATTGTGAAAAAAAAAAATGCATCTGCTCAGCTGATTGAGAAAACAAAGCTGGCACATGTCCAAAATACACTGGGTTGGCCTCTTTAGATGTATTTCTCCCAAAAATCAGATCCAATAATATCATTACAAGTTTTCTTTGTTCAGAGCTTGGGTACAATGTCCCAATACACTGCCATAACCAGGATTCACAATCACACAATAAATCAAAATGCATCCTTAAAAACACTGACAAGATTTTTATGATGGATCCCACATCCTTGTGATGATTATAAATATGTCCATGTCAAAATGTTCTTCAAAAGGTGTACATGCACATGTACTTAGAAATGTAATTGACTTCATGAACCAATTCTCTTCCCATAAACTACAGTCAAATAGGTAATATATATAAAACTGTTACTTACTGCTACATTTTTCTCATAACCTCTAGTTCTGTTGTTATTTCTGTAAAAATAAACATTCAAAAGTGAATACAAAGTACATTAAAATGCAATACATTTCGAAGATCTCAGGAACTTCTAAAATTCAAGACTCCATCAAACCTTTGTCATTGGGCTCTTAAAATTTGAGAATGGACAATGGTATGAACAGAAGGTGTGACATTAGCTCTACTCCAATGTCAGCAGCATCTACACATTAACACAGAAAAGACGCTCTTATTACAAGGGTTGCTGAACCATTTATTGAATGATATTCAACAATTGTTGTTAAAAAGAGTATTTCGTCATACTCAGAATGAGGCTGAATAACTGTCCCTATGTTCCGACAGAGTTAAATGCAGAAATATTGCACAAGTCCAAGTTTGTACAGACTGTAAAAAATTCTTACTACTCTTTTTAATTTTAATCAATAAATGTGTAATTAGAAACCATGCATCTCAATTTTCAGGTAATCATGTGTCATACCAAATGACATTAAAAATATTAATCACAATGTCACGTTATCAAAACTTTCATCATTTTTAAAATTTTTGAGTGTGATGTCCATGCCATTGAAATTGTGACATTTAATTTGCATTTGCCCTAAACCTTATCAGATCCTTGTTTTCTGGGTACCTGCACTGGCATAATACTGAATTACAATTAAGTTACTAATCCTTTAAGTACAAAGTTCAACGAACTCTGTATGACCTTGAACTTTAGCATGTTGCATTTATTTCCATTATGATGTGATGAATTTTTTATTTCTGACATTTTTTCTGTGGTTAAAATCTCCTTGATGGACAAAGTATACATAATTTTTTTCTATATACCTGCTAAAATCTTTCATTTTTCTTTAAAAAAATCTTTACCGTTTCTTATGAACACTTCCTCCAATGGTTTATTTTTTTGTGCATATTCTTGATCTAAATTTACTGCGCTAATAAAATACATATATTTTTCTTTTAAAAAAATCAATTGTGTAAATATAGGCCTGCATAATTGCTACTATGCATGGACTGATGGTTACCTAAGATTAAATGGGATAATGCACAATTCTGAGTTTTCAAATAAAAAAAATTTAAACCCTTCCCTGTTTATATAAGATTTACCTGGATTGAAATCAAAGTAAAATTAAACATTTTATATAGCTATTGACTGCTCTACTGTTCTTGACATGAAATGTTTAAAAAAGAAATTTATGTGTAGCTCGCGTAGCACAGTGGTTAAAGCAGCTTTATAGTCGCGAAGGAAGGAGTTGATCCTTACGTCACGGGTTCGAATCCCACTGTGGGACGTAGAGACCGGTCCTTCGGATGAGACTGTATAAATCGAGGTCCCATGTCACAGTAGGTGCTGGCATGAAAAAGATCCCTCCTCGCTCAAAGGCACTGAGTGCCGAGTATAGGACAAAATTTGCAGCTCTCCACTGGCAAGTGGTGGTGTCTCCATATGCGTGAAAAATTCTCAAGAGGGACCTTAAACAATATACAATCATTCACTAACATGTAGCTCCGTTTCCTTAATACAGCAACTGTAGCCCCATGCAAGCACAAGTGACCATGATTTGAACACACTTGTCAATGAGTTTCTTAAGGCTTTTACAGGGTCTTTAATCATCAATTCTGGTGCAGTGGTTCTACATAATAAGATTTTTTTTTAAGACTGTGTGTTATTTTCACCCCCACCCACTCCCTTTAAAGAAATTCTCTTTCACCAAAGAATGGTTAACATTCATTGGTCCAATCATTTCGGAAAATGAAGAGACAAAGGTCAAAAATGTAAAGAGAACTGCAAACGATAGTATTGTTCTCCCACCTACCTCCAAGTCAATTTTCACGCTTATTTTTAAGAGGTGATTTGAATTGACATTTTCTAATAACCTATCAGTCCAGATAAATTTATTTGCCACACCAATGGTCTCTGACAACTCTGCCATTTCAATCTTCAAAGAAAAAAATCTTTTCCATATTTCATATTTATTACTGCACTACCGTATAATCCCTATTAACCGCCCCTATCCCTATAAGCGCACCCTTCAGTCTTTGTCAACTGTCAGGAAATAAGGGCCCCCTGTACAGTGATTAAAATTATCTAGATTGATATCAAAAATCTGCAAAAATTTGAAGGAAGTGAAAATGAAACTTGTTTATTATCCAATTTCTTGGTGGAAAATGATTCATTAAGCATAATTTGGGTGGATTATCATTATTTTAAGTAAAGTTAGACATTATTTTGGAGATTCTTTGAATTCATTTTTTTTTTTCAAAATATTTTCGATTTTTGGAGTTAAGATATGATATTAAATATTGTAAAGAGAATACCAAAATAAGGCCACCCTTAAAAAAATGTTTGTTTGGAATTGCCGCCTGGAGATTTTCAGACCCAGGAGGGAGGGAGGGATTTGATTTTATTTTTTACAAATTGAAGCTAAATGATAAAAATATAAAATCTCAATGAACAGTGGTTATTTCCATTTATTATCCTCTTTCTTTTATTTTATTAATATTATTTGGTCCGATTTTGAAAAAGAAAGATATACACAGAACGGTACTCCGATATTAATCTCATTTAGATGTTAAGATCTGTTCATTTTTTAATAGTTAAATTTCAGCATCAAACTTCTAGTTTATTTTAAGAATCTTTATTAAACAATACTTTTATCAGTCTATTTCGTAGTATTTCTCTTTGAAATTTACCCCTTTGTTCAGACAACGCTTGCAGTTTGAACCACACAAAATTTTGTAGGAATAGTTGGGATGTTTTGTGGAAAACCGGGAGGGGGTGCTTGGTACGTTCTCGAGTTTTAACATTACATTTCAAAGACTTGTCATACTGACAGACAAAATTTTTCCTTTAGTATTTGGGATAAAACGTTTCTGATCCATGTAATTTTGAAAGTGGGAACTGAACGATCATTTTTTTTCCCAACATGACGGATTTAACTTATCATGTTCAATGTGCAATCTATTACAATAGCTCTTTCCAGGTATCGATGTATCATTCTATTTAATTCTTTTTATTCACCTTTTATTTTTATAGAGATGCATAAATGTTCTGCCCTTCAACACAACGCTTGAATGTTTCCAACGTGGTCTGACATTTTAGCGGCTTTTATTTTGTCAAAACGCCACCTATAAACGCTATATCATAAATACTATGAAGAAAGCGTTTTATTGACCCGAGTTGTTAAATTAATGTGAGCTCAAACCCAACTTTAAAAAGCTATTTCGACGAACGAACTAACTTGTACTAAACAATGTAAGACGATAAAAAAAATATTGTCAATATTTTGCCAATAAAATTTTTTGAGCAGGGGGTATTTTAATGAGGCGGGCGGCAATTCCAAACAAACTATAATTTTATTTTGGCCTAACCGCCCCATTTTCACAATTTTCTAAGCGCCCGCTGCGGTCAATAGGGATTATACCGTATTTTAAAAACATTTCATCCTTACAAACAATTTCAAACAGCCAATCTTTGATTTTTAATTGATAACATGCTGTCATAAAGTCTGTAAATTTTATGCTTATTAAACATCTATGGAAAAAATTCCACTAAATATTACATCTGTCTAAACTACCATACATGGTAAATCTATACTGTAATTATTGATTATACAGACATTATATAAAATAATAGTCAAAAATAAAATTTAGCATTAAGGTTCCTTGACCCTGATAAGAGAGACAACTCTCACTTAGATAAATGACTATCAATTACTTTTGTAAAATTTTGATTATTAAGGTGTGCTGATGGTGTGCATTTCACTTGCAAATTAGATTTCTTTCATTAAAATCAGCGGTATAGGAAACTTTTTATGGGCAAAAAGAGGGATGATGAACTGTATTGTAGACCTTGACTCACACTGTACATTAAGCATCATTTTTGACTTAAACTGAAATCTTTATAATCAAATTGGGAATCATCATGAATTCTGGATTCTGTTGAAATCACAAATTTTGGACATGCCAATATCAGTCTTTATAATAAGCTTGAAAAAAAAATTAGTTCCCATCTAAAATTATCATTTATATTCTCCTGAAATCAAATCTGTGCTAATCTCCAATCAATCAGTGATACAAATGCATCATCTTACAGTAAGAATAAGGAACTAGATTGTCAGTGGTCTGGATAGGACAGGAAGGCTTGGAAACATTAGAAATAGGATATTCAAACTACTCTGCAAATGGAGATTAAGCCTCTGAAAATGCATCTTCACAAGCCAAAGGTTTTCAGGGGAATGAACTTTTGGTTCGTAAAGATGCTGAATATGTAGTTACTCAATATTTTTTCAAAACTATCCTCATCTCATTTGACCTATGTGCAGATCAAGTTAATTTTTCACACAAAACTGTTGCCAAGGTAACATTTCAACGGCATCAGAACAGGCACTAAATGACTATCAAATTTAAATAAAACAATATAAATTCCTGAAAATGAATTAAACATATTTGTCATATAATCACAAACTGATCAGCAGTTATAACATTTAGATCTTTATGAAAGAGAAACATTTTTCTCAATTCAGCAGGGAAAAGAGAGGTACAGGAGGTTATAGAAGTTAGAACACACTTCAATAGGCCTAGTAAACTATGTATAGGTATGCAGGTACAGTACTGTGACCTTCATTATATCATGGCTACCTGCAAGTAACAATGATGCCACAATTACATAAGACATTGTCTGCACCAATCAATTTGGTGCCATTTTTATCATCTAACTGCAGCGTGGACCTAGACTGGCTGCTTCCATGAAAGATAAAACACGTCATCGATAAGCAACTTAGGTTGGCCTGCATCACAACGATTAGTTCTTATTGTGATAGTGACAAACGCAATAACACACACTGTTAAAGAAAAATAACTCAAGACAGTGAAGGCACTGACCTACTGACAGATGGCCCAGAGTTTTGACGACTTTTCCGTCGATTCGCATTCATCGACATCATGGGAAGCTTGTCAAGTCGTGTTTAGCAAGTGCGTGATTTTAACAAGATCTCATACCGGTACCCGCAGGTGACCAATGAAACAATCGGCAGCTACTAATACTGTGAACATCAAATTAAAAATTAAATACACCTGATGATATCTGACATCAAACAAACACGAGTAAACTTAGTGTTGACACAAGTTACAGGCTGAGGGCGGCGCTGTAATATATCTCAGGTTAATAACACAACATGGAGGTTGGAACTACTTTTTCTTAGGATTTTCATTAATGATATTTCATAGACCGAAGTATTTGAAGTTATGATTCTTGTAACACATTAATTTATTTTTTCGTGTTCTGAGTAAATGCTTTTTTAAAGCTACAATGTGGATCATGCTTTGACTTTCAGTGCATTGCTTTTATGATGCGGATGAATAAACGAGTAATTTGTTTAGTCTCGGAGGATGTTCAGAAATCTCATGAATGAAAAATCATAAATTTTACTATAATGTGATTATATACTATATTTTTACGATAAATTATAACTGATAGATTGATAAACTTTTATTTCTTGCGGCAAACAAGAAAATGCAAAAGAAAGAAGTTTACGCATGCGTCAACTTTTGTAAACTTCCTGTAACTTCCTGTGGAGATACTCCCTGCACAACAGTGTCAGAATATCTTGTGAAAATGTCATAATTATATTCAACAGATTAATGCCTGTCAATTTATCGGACGGAGATAATTTAATGTGACAGTTTTTTATTTAGAAGAAATTATACGATATATCAAATTTACTTCTACAAATGATTTAATCTTTAAAACAGACGACAAGTTCCGTCCTACAGATAGGGGTGGTTTCAGCCAATCCTTTATTGTACCGTATGAAAATTCTAACGATAACGCTTCTGCACAAACACAAAGTATGTTAATGACATGAACTTAGTCGTGTCGGATTTTTGTGGATATGGCGGTAGCAGACCCCAGTTATAATCACGTGAACACAAGTTCAGATGAAGAGGATGATGCAGGAGAAAAGATCACTAACAGTCCAGATAATGCAAAGTCTATGGGCAGCCCTAGTTCCCATAAACAGAACGGAACAGCTGTAAATCATATAGATAGATATGGTTTTATGGGTGGTTCCCAGTACACTAATCCAGATGAGTAAGTTAAAAAAAAATTATCTTCCTGTTTTCATCATTAGATATACTAGTAACCTACATTGTGTTGTTTCAGTTATAACTATGTCCCAGAGTGGGCAAAGAAAAAAAATATTTACGGATGTGCTGATAGAATCTTTAAATAAACTGTCTGATAATTTTATTATGTTCCCCAAACGAAGTTGGGGAACATATTGTTTTTACTCTGTTTCTTATTATTATTATTATTATTATTTTTCTTCTCGGGAAAATTTTGTCCGCGAATGATCTTGTAAAGTACACATCCGATTAAGGGGAAACCTTTTTAGGGTAGGTAGGCATATTATGTAGATTTGCGGAACGAAGGTCATTTTGCGCGCACGTGCTTGCAAGAGCGCGCACGTGCAACACGTGAAATGACCAATATACTTGAAATTGCCGTAACTTTTAGATTTTTCGATGTAATGCTTTGACATTTAGAATATATAGACATATTATAAATGTAGATAAGATGACATTGTCAACATGCCATTTTGCGCGCACGTGCTTGCAAGAGCGCGCACGTGAAACACGTGAAATAACCAATATAATGGATATAGCCGTAACTTTTCTATTTTTTGAGGAAATCTTTCGAAATTTATAATGTAAGGATATATTAGTAGCGTAGACAAGATGACATGGTCAAAATAGCAAGATCTCATGTGCATGCACGTGCGCTTTGCTCTGATTGGCTGAAACTAAAGTCTCTATATCTTTCTTGCTTTTCGACGAAATCCTATGAAATTTTGAACATAGCCATGCTTTAGGATATCCTACAACATGATATATAGCAATTATCATGAAAACACGTGCATGCACGTGTGCTGCAATCTGATTGGCTTAAACTTTAAATAGGTTTAACGTCCTTGGTTTTCAACCAAACAGGATGGAATTTGGAACATAGATAGATATAATGAACTTATAAAAGAAGGTTTGGTCACTATGTACATGCATACACGTTCGTGTACGTGCGCTGTAATCTGATTGGCTGAAACTTTAAACAGCAATAACTCCCTTGGTTCTCAACCAAACGGGGTGGGATTTAGAACATGGATAGACGTAATGGACTTCTACAAGAAGGTATGGTCACCATGCTCATGTATGCACGTGCGTGCACGTGAAATGAGTAAAATCAAAAATACACTTGATTGAGCGTATTTTTAATACTTTTGGATAAAATACTTTAATATTTAGTATATAAAAAATATATAGATTGTGTAGACAAGATGATATGGTCATTACGCACATGCATTCACATGCACACGCATGCAATGCTAAAATTTGAATGAACTTGGCGTTGTTAAAGTCTCAAATGCATAGATTTTGTCCTATTTAATGAAGCTTACAGGGAATATGGCATCAAAAGGGAGTTGGGGGGGCATTTGGGGAACATCTGTAACGGTCCCCGTTACAATTAGCACTAGTTATTATTATTATTATTTTTTTTCTTATTTGTTCTCCGGTACTTTTTTGTCCGCGAGTGTTCTCAGAAACTGTTCACCCAACTGACCTAAAACCTTTTTAGGGTTAATAGGTGTGTAGTGTAGGTGTGCGGAACGAAGGTCATTTTGCGCGCATACGCCTGCACGTGCGTGCGCGTGAAATGAGTGAATTGACTGATATACTTAATATAGCTATAACTTTTACATTTTTTGATGAAATGCTTTGAAACTCATTACATAAGGATATATTAATAGTCTTAATAATATGACACTGTCAAATTAGCACGAACTCACGCGCATGCACGTGCGCCTTGCTCTGATTGGCTGAAACAAAAATCTCAATATCTCTTTTGTTTTCCGACGAAATGCTTTAAAATTTTTAACATTGTCATGAATTAGGATATCCTACAATATAATATGGAAAAATTTCATGAAATCACGCGCATGCACGTGCGCTGCAATCTGATTGGCTGAAACTTTAAATGGCTATATCTCCTTTGTTTTTTGACGAAATGCTTTGAAATTTAAAAAATAGTCATGCATTAGGACATCCTGCAATTTGATATACAAAAAATTTCAAGAAATCACGCGCATGCACGTGTGCTGCAATCTGATTGGCTGAAACTTTAAATGCCTATATCTCCTTTGATTTTTGATGAAATGCTTTGAAATTTAAAACATAGTCATGCATTAGGATATTCTACAATATGATTTAGAAAAAAATTCTTGAAATCATGTGGATGCACGTGTGCTGCAATCTGATTGGGTGAAACTTGAAATGGCTATAATTCCTTTGGTTTTCAACGAAACAAGATGGGATTTAGAACATAGATAGATATAAGGGCCTCTAACAAGAAGGTATGATCATCATGCACGTGCACGCACGTGCGTGCATTTGGAACTAATGAAATTAAAAATACACTTGAATGAGTGATTTTTAATACTTTTGGACTAAATGCTTTCATAAAAAGTATATTTAAATATATAGAAAGTGTAGGCAAGATTATATGATCATAATGCACGAGCATTCACATGGGCACGCGTCAATGTTAAAATTTGAATATAATTGGTATCCTGTTGGGAAAACGTTGTTAAAGTCAAAAATGTACAGATGCTGTCTTATTTAATAAGGCTTACAGGGAATGTGGCACCAAAAGGGAGTTGGGGAGCGTTTGGGGAACATCTGTAACGGTTCCCGTTACAATTAGCACTAGTTTCTTTTACAGTGAGCATAGAGTTCCAATTGAAAAACTGAGACAAAGAGAGCTAAAATGGCTGGAGATGTTTGATGACTGGGAAAAATGGATGAGCAAAAGATTTAAGAAGGCAGGGATAATTAAGTGTTTAATACAAAAGTATCTTTAAAAAATTCAGGATATAATTCTAAGTTTTATGAGTAAATCTCAAATAAGACAACCATGTTATTAATCTACTAAAAAACTACAAATCAAAAGAATTTTTCTGAAGTGTCTTCGACCCTTATCAAATGTTCCAATATTTTCACCTCTTATATGAAGAGTTAATAACTTGAACATTTGTCCACACAAATCTTGTCTGGGTTATAACTTTGTAATTAAGAATCACTGGAAGATCAACTTTGATACAAAGATACCTGAGGGTATATCATGACCTTGATCCACAGTCAATCTAGCAAGTTCACTGACATTGGCCAAATAAGATCTTGTCTAATCTTGGAAGTTTATACTTCAAACAAGGATTCCTTACAACCAGAATATGATTCCTGATCTTTAACCAAGATCATTTAATCAAACTTGAACTCACTCACAGAATTTCTTAATTCATTCCACTGACCCTATCGTGATGGGGAACATTATACTTTCACAAATCTATTATTTGAACTGAGAGTGTGTGTTGACGTCATTCCAGCAAGTATATTAAGGAAATGTTTAAAAGATGATATTTTTTTAAAAGTGGACAATATTGTATATTTTTTAATGCTATAAAATTTGAAACATGGAAAATACCAAAAAGATTATGTAACCTTCATTTTACCCATGATTAATTTTCATTCATAAAGTTTTTCCTTTATCATCATGACTGACTGTATTGAAATAAAGTATTTGTTTGAAATTTGGTAGCAAAATGAATATAGTTAAATGTAATTTGAAAATATCAGGTAAGAAATTTATTGATTTTTACATGTTTAAGGACTATGTGTTAATTAATTATAGATTAGAGATCGATGTCGAAAGGGTATCCCACCATCATTGCGATCAAGAGCATGGCAGTATTTATGTGGCAGTAAATTCCTAATGGAACACAATCCTGGAAGATTCGATGTATGTATTTTAATGGAAATTCAGAGTACACAAAGTGCACTTTTTAGCTAACCTGTGCCAAAGGCTCAAGTGAGCTTTACTGATCAAAATTTGTCAGTTGTCTGTCATTTTTGGCATTGTTGTTGTAAATTTTTAAAAGGGTCTTTTCATATTCTCAACAACACTGCTCAAGGACCATTGGGCCAATTTCAACCAAACTTACTACATGTAAAAGCATTTTTGAGTGATTGGGATTGAAATTTGTTCAAATGACAGACCATGCCTGAATAATTAAGATTTAATGGCATCTTTTAAAAAACAACTTCTCAAGAACCACTTGATCAGAAAACTTCAGTGAAATCTTCATTACATGGGTATAATTAAGTTTGTTCGAACACCATGACCCCGAGAGGTAGGAAGGGGTTATAATATGTGAAAATGCATTTGGAAAATTTGTTGACAAAGAACAGCAGGGACTTGGTGACTCAGGTGAGCACTGAGGTCCATGGGCCTCCTGTAAGAAATGAAATATGTTACTCGTACCCATTATATCCATCTTCTCTATCCAAGGGTTTCTGATACGCTACTCCCCTCATGAACCCTTGGCATACGGTGAATTCAAATGACAGGATTGTTTTTGTCACGTCATCTATGCACAGATTGCATCATCGACAGAAATAGAGAAGTGTATTTAAAAAGAAATGAAATCAAAGTTCTTAAAGAATAATTAAAAAGCAATAATTGAGTTATGTTTATTTATCATTTAAAGTACAAATGTACAGCTTCAATATAGGTTCTTAATCACATATTTGAAGATATAGGATGACACCATAGCTATTGAATGTTATCTTAAGGACCGTTGTTTACTTGCGTTTTTCATTCCCAAGATTAAAGAGTCAAGATATATCCCAAGCCCAGATATCGTCATATACGAAAAACAATTGCTGATTGGTCGAGCGGTGTTGCTGGACTCCAATCACAACTTGAGAAAAAAAAATCCCAACTTTTTTTTAACACTGTATGAGGAGAGTAGCATAATCAGAAATCCTTGGCTAGCAAGGAAGATTATATCCAAATGATGGAAATAATCTCTGAAATGTACAGTTTTTGGATAAAGAAAAGCAAATAAATATTTAATTTTTTATGTTCAAGATGTTTGAAAAAACAAAACAAAAAACAAATAATGATTTATCTTGAGTATAATCCCCTCGCAACAGAGTTGGAGGGGATATACAGTAATGCAATCCTGTGTTTGTATGTGGGTGAGCAAGTTATTTTTTGCAAATCAGAAGTGACTTAATTTGCATTGATCAGGATTGATGACAACAGTTGCCTTGATTTATAGATAGGCTCTTTGCTAGGGGATGCTCTGCCTTGCGGTGCCCCTCAATAACTTTATAAAATATGGAAGTTAAAGTAGGTAAAATGACTCTGTATGACATGTACATGTATATCTAATTATATGTTATAGTAATCCTCTTCAAAAAACAGTGATAGCAAAGGGGAAATCGCTTTATTTTGAATGGACATTCAAAGAGGCTATTTCATTTCCTCTTATCTCATCAACAATCACATTGACAATTAATTAATTAAATCATTTTGTATTATAGTACATCAGGTAATTATTTAAAACAGGATGTTATAACTTATAATCATCAGTTTAAAATCCATTGTAGGAATATTTAAGTCAGCCCGGAAATCCTAAATGGGAGGATGACATCACAAAAGATTTACACAGACAATTTCCACAGCATGAAATGTTCAATTCCAAAGGAGGATTTGGGTAATGATATTCCTTAAAATAAATTCCTGTACGAACATAAATGACAATATCATGGGCATTCCTTAATTATTATGTAGTCAAGACAGTCTACACATGAGCACATTTTGCATGACTGCCAGAGCAAGAAAGACAATAGTGTGTAATCATTTTATGTTCATTTTTTTGTAGACAAGAAGACTTGTATAGGATTCTAAAGGCTTACACCATACACAACCCCCGGGAGGGCTACTGCCAGGCCCAGGCCCCTATAGCTGCTGTCTTACTGATGCACATGCCAGCTGAGCAGGCCTTCTGGTGCCTGGTCTCCATCTGTGAGAAATATCTGCAAGGCTACTACAGTCCTGGACTGGTATTTGATAGATTTTATTTATCTTTTTAACCAATTGTTTTATTTTTTATTTTAAGGAATAACTGTGAAAGTTTTTTGATTTTAATTTTTATGATATGATCATGCAACTGGCTTGTATGATGATTTGCAAAAATGCAAATTTCTTTCTGTTGGTTTTTAAAAATCAGTGAAATAAACATGATAAACAGTTTTATTTTTTATTGAAAAATTTTAGAATTTGGTTTTTCACTTAAAATACTTTAATTTGAAAAAAAAAAACACTACCCCTCTTGGATTGCAGGAAGTAATGATTTATCATAATTTATTTTATGTAAATATTCAAAAGTTGAGTGTTTCTGCTCCATGAGATCTACGTTTTGTCAGTTAATATTTATCTTAATTTGAATTTGATTGAGCATAGCACATGCAGATACTGCATTTCATAAATAAAACCCTTCAATTTAATGTTTATGACTCATCAAATGAATGTGTATGTGTTTGTAAATATCATACATTCTTATACACCTACACAAGATGTAATAAATTTTAAATTACAAATCAAAGAAATTTACATAAATAGAAAGGAAAACACCCACTCACATCCACACTAAAAGCATTACTGTTTAATAACATTGGTCTATTTATATGATATTACAGGAAGCTGTTCAAGTAGATGGAGACGTTTTGTTTGGATTGCTGAAAAAGACACAACCAGCTGTTTACAAACATATAGTACATTTTCTATTAATGAATACTCATCGGATCAATATTTATAGAAATTTAACCCCACCCCACCATGCAAACATGCACGTGCTTAATTTATTAATAAGAGATTCAGTTTGTGAAATCTTTAAAGGAATTTTTTATATTGCCTGGAATATTGATTTCAGAATAATTTTAAAATCCCTCCAAAACTTTCTGATTAAAAAGAATTCTATTTATTTTTTTGTAGAAGAAACAACAGATAGCTCCTATACTTTACATGACGGAGTGGTTTATGTGTTTGTTTACCAGGACGCTGCCTTGGTCCACTGTGTTAAGGGTCTGGGATATGTTCTTCTGTGAAGGTCAGTGCTCTGTGTTAATGCTGGAAAAGTTATCATTGAAGTTGTTCAAACCTCTAATGAAAGGCACCAAAAAATCTTTTGTGCTCCAATTTAGTGTTGATATAGTGAGATTATAGATACAAAATATGTAGGTCTTGAAAAGTATAAACTCAGATGTGAGGTAGAGTTTCTGGATGATGATGTCATTAAGTAATACAATTTTCATATCTTCCAAATGTTTATCCAAAAGGGATTGCAATAAAAGTTTTAATCTATCCGTATTAGAGGTTGTGTTAATTATAAGGGGCAACACTCATTGCATTGTCCTGATATTTAGAGATCATGATTTCAAAAAGAACTGAAGTATATGCTCAGTAATTTTAAGAAGTAAGGTTCTCTTCTAAACAAGATATACAATGTAACCTTAAAGATGCTTTAGGTAAAATCATAGGTGTAAGCCCCCCCCCCCCCCCCCCCCCCCACCTCAAAAAGAAAAAAAATAGAATTGAATAAATGATTTGTGATTTTTATTTGACAGGTATAAAGGTGATATTTCGTGTTGCTCTGGTGCTATTTAAAATGGTATTTGGAGATGGAGGGAATTTCAAAGATTGTCCAACTTTGTATGAAACACTAGAAAAATTAAGACACATTCCAGTTCAGCACCTAGATGAAGAATTAATGGTACAAGAAGTAAGTTATTACCAAATTTAGAATGTTTCAGATTTAGAAACTTAGAAATTTATTTATTATATGATAATGGTGGAGTTTTCTTGTACTTTTTGAAGTAAAGGTCAGGGTTTTTACACACAATTGCTAATTAGGGCATAACCTTTATTATTTCAGCAGAACTTATTTAAATGCAAAATACAGTATTAATATTTTCTATGACAACTATCTGATCATTTTCTATACATGAGTAAATGTTAGATTTTATTCAGAATCATTCAAATCAAATGACATCTTTGCACTATCACATTGCAATATCACTTTGCACTATCACATTGCAATGTCATGAACAAAAGTTTTTCAATGCAACAGTGAAAATGAGATTTACTTTAATAATACTCTACCTTATTTCTACTTGTTAAATGTTCAATTAAAAAAAAAAAATTATATGTCAGGGAAAAAACAATTAACCATCTAAAATGGTATACAGTCCAGCAAATACTAACATAAATAAGAAAGAGTTCTTTGAAGCGTTAAAGGACCATTTGATGTAGTCATAAGCAATGTCATTTTAAATGCACACCTTGCTCATTTGACATCACATTTGAAAAAAAGGTGTTTTAAAAATGTGCAACCCACAACATGTAGATTACAAAATCTAAGATACATTTCTACGTACTTTTTAGACCTTGCGACTAAACATCAATGAGAGAGACATGGAAAAAGAACACCAGAAACAAATTCATCGGCGGAAAAAAGAAAAGACGAAGAAAGGGGGGAAGCAGAAGTCATGACAGAAATCAAGATGGCGGTAGTGGTGTATTACTTAGACATTGTCAAATTGTATTCATGAGAAACTTCTTTTATACTAGTCATTCATATTTAATTTTTTTATGTATATGTATATCAACACAATGGGAGAGTGTTTTGAATTTGTATTCGGACAGTCGCTGGAGTTTGTTTTTTGGAAAACTGGATCAGGATTTGATGACAAAGCGCTTTTAGTCTAAACTAAATGTAAAGCTGAATGGCAGAAATAAGCTGAATGGAGAAATATTGGCAGTCTGTCCCAGCATTTATTTACGCTCAAATTTTTTTTTATGCTTCTGACAAATATGCCTTTTGTTTAAACCCTATATAAAATCCTTGCGGCACAAGTCTGTGACTGATTTGTTAATATTGTTTCAGATTATCTTGAGAGATATCTCTCTGAAAAAAATTTTTTTTCTATCACATATGGAACTGCCATTTTTTGTGTGTGAATACTGGCTTTCCAAATGTATATGGTTTAGAATTTTAATTTAAATGATGATTGTCTGTATACTTCAAGTCGTATATTGTGATGTAAATATATGTGTAATATATTATAACAGATGTTCATTTTGTAATTATTAATTAATTACAACTAATTGAACACACTTGTGATAATGCTAGTTCAGGACACGTGGTTATGTGGGAAGGTGGACCAATTTATTTCAGATTGCTCATTTGCATATTGTACAAAGAACTTGTGTGTACCTGCTTATTGTTTTTAACCTGAAAAAGTTGAAACAAATCAAATTTGAACAAAGGAATTTTTTTTTCAATCAATCATCCATTGAAACATTCCTTACTATTTTTCACCATGTTTTTATTCACCACATACTGTTTTTATTTCCAGATGCTTTTAGGGCCATATTATAATTTGGGTTTTTCATCTTCTTATCTGTTAGCTTATTTATGCCATGGTCTTATCTTTTTCTGACACATAGGCTAAGACTTACTAATTTACATGTAGTCAGTGGATGCATCCACTGAATGTTTTTTTTTTGGGGGGGGGTGTCACAATTTTCGGCTATATTACAGCAACTTTTATCTAAAAATAATGGGGTCAACCACGTGTGATATCAAGAATGCAGAAAAAAAATATTTTTCCTCAAATGGCTTATGATCGTGTACCCTAGCAGTGTACTTTATTGAATAGTATGTCATACTCATTTGATAAACTCAATTCAGGAAAAGCAAAGTCCTTGTGCTCATAGATTTTTTCTTTGATATTTTTTTAACAGACATATACTGGCATAGGTCAGGTAAAATGTACAATTGTGAATATGTTGCAAAGAAAAAAAACATGAAGAGGATGGTTAATATACTTTAAGAGTATTGTTAAAATACACACAAACACTAAATATGAATGATTTTAGTTTTTAAATGAAAATAGTATGTGCCATGATCACAAGGTTGTATAGTATGTATAATGTATACTTGTATTAAGTGCTGTAAAATAAAGAAAAAATCTGTTCTTTTTCCCCCAGCAATAAATTATAATGCTGTTGGAAATTTCTCAAAATGTGTACTGTTGTGATTTTTTGACAGAAAATACTTTTAATTTATCAAACAGCAAGAATTTTTGGTTTGTCTTTGGTATCAACTACTTAATAATTCATATTAATCAAACATGCTTCTATTTATTTTGGTGCTTGTTAAAATTTATGCATGAATTGATTACAATTTGTACATTATTTTCCCCAAATGTACATGTAATTTTTGCAGGCATGTTAATGAAATCGTGTATTTAAAAAGTTTTAGTTGTATATTTAATATAGATGAATTAGTTTTTCCCAGTATCATTTTGTCTCACTGTTAACTGTTGCCATTTTTTTTACTTTCCTTTCCTCCACTTTTTTTTGTCATTGAAACTGGTTCAAAATATTTTAAGAATCTCTGAGAAATATTTTGCTTAACCCCAGCCTGCCCTGACAAGAGGGGTAATAAATATCATTAACATTGAAGATATGTTCAGCATATTGGCATAAATCATTAAGAAAATATTGAATTATTTTTCATCAGAATTGAGGGGAGTTTTGTTTTTTTAAAAAAAAATATTGTCTGACCAGTAATTTATAATGAAAATTATTTCAATGTCAGTGATTTTTTAAAATCACAATGCGCAAAGTTCTTTTCTTGTCTTATGTCTTAATACTGGTATTTAAAAAATAATTTTTCAAGAATGCATTGGATTCAGTTCAATAACAGATAACATTTTTGAAGCATCCTTATGTTGAAAGTTGTGATAAAATAGTGTTAAAAGGTAAATGCCAGAAAACTGGAATTAACAAGTCTTAAAATTGGAAAATGTGTCAGTCTTACAGACACAATCACTGAATGTAAAATGAATAGGTATGCACCTATATTTATGAAGACAAGAGCAAGTAAATTATTCTTACTATCAATTGTAGAATTGTTGATTCTTTTTGTTGTTTTCAGTTTATAAAAACATTTAGTGGACTAAGTTAATTTATCCATTTGAGGATGCTGTTTAAGAATTATTTAATGTAGTTTACTTTTCCAATTATGAATTTTGAAGTGATGAATTTAATTCATTGAAATTATGATAAATTGCCTCCTGTAACACCTTACTGAAAGCTCTGACTGTTTTATTACCTGAAATAGAAAGTCATGAAACCAAGACTTGCATGTAAATTCAAACTTGAAGCTCCTTCACCAAGGAGGCTTTGTAGAAAGTTTGATTGAAATAGGCCCAGTGGAAAAAAAGTTGAAAATGTGAGAAATTTACAGACTAATGATTGTGGACAAATCATGTTACATAAGCTCACGCAAGCTTTCAACTCAGGTGAGCTAAAAATTGGACAGCTATATTCACAATTTATGGATTTTTAAAGAAAGAAAACTCTTGCTTACTTTTTCTTCTTAGGCTTGATTTCCTTTGTATGAACATCTTCAGCTTTAGATGATTCAACATATTCCTCCACCTTGGAAAAAAAGTACAGATTTAAGGATCAGATTGAAATAACAAATTAAATTGAAAAATATTATAAATGTTTGGTGGTGATATCAAACTTTGTATACAAAACCTTACTTTGCCTTTCTTGCCTCTAGAAAACTTCTGTTTTCTGGACCTCTGCACTTCAGAATTCCAGTACACATTTTCTTCTTCCTGTTTAAAGGAGAGACAAAAATGTCTTAAAGAAAACCAACTGCTATTAGAAGGGGAAAATTATGATTGAGTTACTTCCCTCAGTCCATTTTACTAAAATGATGTTTAGATATGGTTGGTTGAAGGGTAATGGGAATACATGCATAAATTGTCTTAAGAGAAGCCCAGGAAGATTGATATATTGTCTACACAGATGGTGAGAGTTGGAATGAAGATGAGATATTTTAGCTTGTAGATAAGAATTACAGAAAGCTGGAATTTATGTTCAAATGTTGATGTGGGAAGTTGAAAGGAATAGAAGGAGAGTGGAATGTAACGTTAGATATTGAGGTGGCATATGAATATGGTTGAAGGAAATCAGGTACATGTATGCCTGACTATACAAGTATGTTAATTTGTTCATGAGATAAAGTTGGAGGCAGGCCTGAAGGGGGGGGGGGGGGGTTAAATATCGCAATATTCTATTTAGTTATTATTACGCTATACTAGTATTCCGTACATAACATAGAGTTATCACTGCAAAAGTTGGATTAGCAAATCAGAAAGTAGAAAAAATCTCATTCACTTACCTTGGATCCTCTTCGCTTGTTGGACCACCGTTTTGTCTTTGGTTTGACTAGGTCACTATCCCAAGAATTATCACGCCTCACCTCCTTAAAAGTAAGATATTATCAAAGGGATGGTATCTGATCACTAAACTTCGACTGTAAAACTTGCAAAAGTGTGTCGTTTATATTACAAGGTTCACGTGGGTTTATGAGATTTATTGACGTATGAAATCACAGGTCTCAAGTCCCGAGACATTACATTTTGATGGTTTTTAACACTCAAACTGAGACAAAATTACAGAAATATCCTACCCTTTTCTTCTTCCGTTTTCCATTTGAACAGTTCTTGTCCATCTTAATTAGAATGGTTCTTCTCTAGTATCTCTACAGCAAAATTGGAATGTGCGAACACACAACTTGCGGTTTCCATGCAATATGATGACGTTTTGTTATTGTTGACATTATGACGTCATGATGACGTTGGAGTTGGGCGGAACTATATCCATATATGGATGAGCTTGACGCTCGGCTGTCTTCGCATTTCTCCGGAGACAGTCGAGAGTCTCATCCAGTCTAACAAATTAGAAAACTTGATTTTGATCAAATTTTGCCTTCACACCTCTTTTCAAAGACAACAAACATTAAAGAATTCCGTGATTTATTGTTGTATTGAACGAAATTAATCACCATTCTCGCAAGCCAGGGGTCATGAGTCTTATTCATGCTCGGATCTTGAGGGGGAGGTCCGTACTTAGCTGCAATAATGTAGCCCTCTCCGATTTTTTAATTTGATGTTTTCTGGAGGCCTCTCAAAAAAAAAAGAAAAAAAAAAGATGTGTTTGTAAAACACTATGCGCCCGGCGGCAACAAAGTTCTAAAATGCAATTTTTAGCCTATAGGTTACAGTCAAGGTCCCACGATCATTGTCCTTGGTGTCATTTGAAAGCACTTAAGGTATTTCTGACTAGATGAGACATTCAAGGTATATTTGCTTATATGTCTTATATATTGAGGTGTAAGGAATTTAAAAGACCATATTTTTCTTTCCTCATCAGAAATGTACAACTTTAAATAGAAATGGTAAACTGCATTTGAAAACTAACAGGGACTATATTTTTGGCGGAATGGTGGCGTATGAAAATATCTTCTTTTCTGCCTCTCAAAATTATAAGGATCAATAAATTTAATTATAATTTTTACACAATCAGAGACATGCAGAAATTTTCAAATGTAAGTTAAATTAATAATGAGGGATTAAACTTTCAAAATATATCAAATAAATATGATTTTTCAAACAAACTAGAAATTTGTTAGCTTTTAAACGCTTCCTATCAAAGAGCAGAATTGAGCCAAAAATCCATAAAAAGCATTTTTTCTCTCTTGGTAAACGATCAAAACTTTTTGTTTTTGTATCATTTTGTACATTTATAAGACTACCTTAATATATGTGAAAATAAGAAAAAGTTAAATATAGGAAGCATCTGAAAATAACTAATATATCCCAAAAATTAAGAAAAACAGAGAAAATTCGGATTAGCCAATATCCAGTTTAGTTAAATTATTTATGTAAATTTGGTAAAATAATGTTATAGAGCAGATATAGTAATATGTTTTTATTCAAAAAGAACAATCTTCAAACTTTTGAAATAGAAGTAGGTATCACATGATTGGCAATAGTATTTTTTTTATTCTTAATGTCAAGGAAACAGATAATGACCTTGACCTGACCTTGCCTCTAATATAAAACGGTCAAATTTAATCTCACTGTTACTATCACTTACTGATATTGTCTTCGTAATTCTGTGAGAATTTCATTAATTTTTAAATATTACAAATATGAGAAGAATCCTACCTTAATTAGTGGAGTAAGCATACCAAATATAAAAACTCTATCTCCTATGGTTTAAAAATTATGGCGAAAGTTCGAAAAAGCTGTTTTTTGCATATAGGTTAGTCAAGGTCACAAGGTCATTGACCTTGACGTTATTTGAAAGAGCGAAAGTTCGGAAAAGCTGTTTTTTGCATATAGGTTAGTCGAGGTCACAAGGTCATTGACCGTGATGTTATTTGAAAGAGCTTAATTAGCGGAGTATACATATCAAATATGAATACATTATCTCCTATGGTTCAAAAGTTATGGCAAAAGTTCAAAAAGCTATTTTTAGCATATAGGTCACAGTGAAGGTAAAAGGACACTGACCTTGGTGTCAGTTGAAAGTGCTTAATTAGGGGAGTAAGCATACCAAATACGACGTCTCCATTTCTCACGGTTCAAAAGTTATGGCGAAGGTTAAAGTTGACAACAGACAGACAAACAGCTAAACAGACAGACAGGACAAGACAATATACGCTCCGAATAAATTCGGATGCATAAAAAAGGGAGAGGGCTACATTATTGCAGCTAGTCTGTACTCAACTATTACTCAAAGTGAAAACGCGGATCTGTTTTAATTCGATATGGGTTTTTTTTCCCTTGCTCGTCAAGAAATTTCTGGGTTACGATCTTTTTTTTTGGGGGGGGGGGGTGGATCCCCCTGGAAAAAATCCTCCTGGATCCACGCTTTTATTGATTTGTTTTCCAACAAGGCAACTAGTTGGAGGAATTATATTTTTTGCGACAAGAAAAGTATATCCTAAACCTACCAGTGACAATTCTTAAAATGCATGCAACTTCGAGTTCTGCATAGGTTACTAGTACATTTAAATGAGTTATCATTCATTTGTCTGTCTTTCTTGGATTACCGAGTGTGTGAAAAATCATGTCTGGGCCGAGATGTGGAAAATCATGCGTCCACTTCTGAAAACAGAAGCGGGATCAGGTGCCATGTAGGATTCAGAATCTCTTTTCAACCGAACACAACCGTCATACGTGCGAAATATTTTACGCTTTCCAGGCTTTTTAAACGATTTTGATATTTCCTGGCACGTAAAATAGGCCTATCAAAATCGTAAAAAAAAAGCCTGGAAAACGTAAGATATTTCGGATTAACCCGCTATGTGCTCATTGTCATGATCGGGTTAACGGGAAAAAATGGTAGACAGTCCAGTGTGAAAAATAAGAGTTTAATTAACAATTCGTATGAAAGATGTAGTTCAACATTCAGCTTAATTTGCAAACCAGCTCATAAACCATAGAATTTACGAAATATTGATTTTAAACGAGATTGTTTATATCCTTTTTCATCAATGAATGTAAAAGCCCATTTTAAAGAGTGATACATGCCTTGCCAAATGCTGTTTCTTCTTTCGATCATGGTCATTTGATGTTTTGTATATAAAATCATGATAATGTTACAAGGAGGAAATGCACAGTATTTTTAATTAGGTTGGGTGGTTTTATTTTATAAAGCTATAATTTTTCATTGCGATGAGTACATTTTTTTTAAATTTTAACCTCGAAGGTTTCTGTCTTATGGTTAATATGCTTTACGTACGAACAATTCCTGAAATGAGGCAAGATATTGACAAAAACGTTGATGAAGCGAGGATATCAACCAGTCTTGTTCAAATTCATCATTTCGCAAGTTCTATGTTCATTGATCTTGTCAGTAAATTCAATCTATTATTAAGTCGATTGTTGACTGTTATTAGATATTGCTTACCTATATATTATAAGAATTATTCATTTAATTGTCAGGCAAGTTGTACACAATTCCTTCTGAATTGTGTACAGATTTTTTTCCCCCGACAAGGAGAACATGGCGAGTGTGACAGGTGGACAGGGAAT